AAATGCATTTGTAAAAATTTTAACACCGAAAATAAATTTTCCGCAAGAATAGAAAAATCCGGCATGAGTACCCTATCTGGGTCGCACAATGAGCTCGAATAAACACACAATTGATTGACATTGACACAATTTTTTTCTGAAACACATGAAACAAACATAAAACATAATCCCTGAAAGAAACAGAGGCTACACCGCCTGTTTTTTACCAACATACTTTGCACGAAGGCGATCAATAACAAGTAAGAAAGTCAACGGTTTGCGATGACAGGCGCACTTATCTCACACACAACTACTGATGGCTTCTGTATTTCACAATCTCGATAACAAAACAAATTGGTCTGTTCAACACAGTTGCAAATTTTCGGTAGCCGTTCCAACGGAAATCACTTTTAAATTTATTAAGAAAAGAACATCTCAGGAAGGTTTTGTTATGCCCTAAGACTGCTTTTTCAAATCAACATAATTTTCTTCCGTTAACGGACAAATCGCATTAAACTTTCCACATGACTTTAATTGAACTATGTACTTCTGCACAAATTATTCTAATAATGACGAAACTGCGTCTTCATAAATTAGCGTACAAAAACGTACACGCTCTTGTTCCCGTCGCGAGGTGAACAGCCGCCGCTTTTACCTATATTTCCGTTTTTAGAACACCACTTCCAATAGAAATATATAAATGAAATATACCTAAAATAACAAAAATTCTGCGTCGACCGAGAATCAAACCCGGGCCACCCGCGTGGTAGTTACAATGATTAGATGAACGACGACGACAACGACTTAAATAGATTAAATAAATTAGCAATTGATTCTCTTAATATGCTAATAGTGGAAGAGCTAGTGAACCATCCGACTAACCCATTTCGCACAAAGCTAGAAAATTGTTAAATTATGTTTTATTATCAATCAATCTCGTGATTGCGTTATCATTTTTTAAATGTTTGATGTTTGCAATGCATTTACTTATGGCAATAATTCCATGGCCGTGTCGATGGTGACTGTGCGTGACAATAAACGAATGAAAATTGGTTTCAATCACAATCATCCATGGAATTATTGCCATAAAAAATACATTGTAAACTTCAAACATTTAAAGGA